GATCATCTTTCTCAAGCCATCAGCATTAGAAACACCGACTCAATTCTGAAACCGCTACACACCGCCATCTCTAACAACTGCTTCATAGGCACCATTTCACAACACCCTGCCCCGAAGGCAAATCAAAGAAGACCATAACACCGGTAAACCTTAATACATTCAAACAAGGACGGCAACACCACATCACATATGAGAATTCCACCATGCTCAAAATTATCAAGTCTCATTACTCCATCAACCAAAGCCTGAATATCCATAGTCCGATTACCTTTCCTCCGTTGGAATTAAATGCCGAACCTCTAAACCATGCACTGAGAAATCCTCCTTTCGAGTCATTCACTGCCTTGACACATAAACAAGCACCCTACCATTATACCAACAATGTGCAATAACAACGCATGAACATCATAATAATATGTGCATAGCCTCGAAACCATTGGAAACATAGATAATAGGCTGAAATAACAGAACACCCTTCCGCAAGGCGATGATAATAGCCTTCCCGAATACGCAGGGAGAAACATCATGCACCACATTTGCAGTACCACTACAACTCCTCGATGTCCAATTGATAACAAGCGCTCCACGTCGCATAAGATTGAGTAGGAAGGAAATAAAAGCATAAGCTCCAATGGAATCAAACCGCACGAAGAGGAATCAAGAAGGGAAGTGATCCTAACAGCCTTGTAGACTCTCGAAGATAAGTACAGACATCTCCGTACCGATCTGCAAGACTCTACTAGACATGTTCATGACTCGAGTGACCCAAATGAACCTAGAGCTCTGATACCAAGCTGTCACGACCCAAAACCCACTATAGGCAACTCCCAACGTCGCCGTTAGGCAAGCCAACAGTGAACTACCAACTTAATTGTTCATTTTATTATTCTTGAAAATCATGAATCTTATTAGATAGAGAGATCGATGCATCAAAAATTGTATATATGTATGATTTAAGTAAAATATAAAGTAGAAGTGTCTCAATGGTAAGAAAAATCATAAAAAAATATTAGAACACCCCAAAACCCGGTGTAACAAGTGCATGAGAATTTACTAAGAAGTACAATAATAATACAATATCTGTCTGGATTGTAAATAAGACAGGATAAAGTAAATAGTACGGTGGAGACTCTGTGGGCTGCGATACGTAGCCTGGAATGCAGCTCGCCGTAAAGTCTTCTCAGCAGCTGCGCCTACGCGCCAAGATGACCACCAATTGAACTTGTCATATCCTCTGCATGTTTAGTGTAGAAATGTAGCATGAGTACTTAAATCAACACGTACCTAGTAAGTATCTAGCCTAACCTCGGAGAAGTAGTGATGAGGGGTCAACATCGACACTTACTAGAGGTCTAATAAATCAATATGATAAATCATAAAGAGATATGAAGCACAATAGCAATAATGGGGTAAAACTATAAGTTACATAATCTTCCAAAAAATTGTTTTAAAGATATAAATTTTTCAGTCTCGTGTTCTATCTCAACAGCTCAGATATATTAAGTGCCAGAAACCAATGGATAAGGAACACCATAATAAATGCCGGGCATCAGTGGGAGGAAAATCTCGTGAATATTCAGACTGCTAGCGATATAATGCACGATTATGCCGAGGTCGTACGACCCGATCCAAAATAATATGTACACTATCGAGGGTCGAGCGGCACGAACCATAGATGCATATATTACACCGCCGAGGCGTTCGTCCTGCTCCATAAGAAATGAAGGAAATCATCAAATTACGAGACACGTGCTTANTATATTTCTAAATCAATTTTAATTATAAATTTAATTAATTAAACAAACAGAGTAAATTCAAATAATTCAAATATTACATGATAAAGTCCTATGTCTACCCGGACATAAACATGCTTTAGTTACGGACGGACTCTCATCACCTCGTGCGTACGTAGCACCCACAACTAGTAGCACATAACAATTACATCGCCTAGGGGACGGTTTTCCCCTCACAAGGTTAGACAGGACACTTACCTTGCTCTGAAGTTTCACAACCGGCTCCAACGCCTCTCTAACACCTCAACTCAAAGCAAAACATTCCGAAAATAGTCCAACAATGTGCAAATCAATCAAAATATACTCCAATGCTACAATTTAACAATTTATAATGATTCCCAACTTTGCTTGAAAAGTCAATAAAGTTAACCATCTAGCCCACGTGCCCGAATTTCAAAAATTATTAAAAATACTTATTACCCATAACTGATATAGTTTATATTCCGAAAATCATCTAATTTCACTTAAGAATTGACACTCAAATCAAGGATTTATCATCTCATAACTTTGGGGCTCAAAACTCCAATTTCTACAATCTAAGCACGGATAAAAATGATAACCCACGAACATAATCATAGACAAACATCAAAATAAAGCTCTTATATTTACCCCCCTTGTTGAGACAAGAATAATGCCGCAAAAATCACCTCAAACGGAGCTCTACAACTCAAGATATGCTCAAAATACTAAAATGCTCGGTCTACCCATTTAAAACACTGTCTAGGCGATTTTTGTTCTTCGCCTTCGCGGGATACCTTCGCGTCCGCGAAGAAAATTTTTTCGCATTGACCAGTCAACCCAAATTTCCTTCTTCGCGTTCGCGGGACCTCCCTCGCGTTCATGAAGAACAAAGTCTGCACCAGAAACCAGCAATCTTTCCGGACACGAAAATGGTCATAACTTTCTCATACGACATCGGAATTCGACGATTCTTGTTACTATATTTCTGTAATTATGATATGGATCTAATGGTTAAATTCAATCACAAATTAAAAAGGTCATTTTATCAATATGGTACCTTTTATGTCCAAAGAAACGACGTTAAAACATCAAATAAGAGCGCGATACAACCCAAACACATCTGAAACACACCCGAGGCCCCCGGGACCCCGTCCAATTACACAAACCAGTCTCTAAGCATAACACAAACATACTCTAGGCCTCAAATCATACCAAAAAATATCAAAACCATGAATCGACGATCAAATCCTCCTTTTAACTTTCAAACATTCAAACGTCAACGAACGCGTCCGAATTACACTTAAACATTTCGGAAATGACGCCAAAATTTACGTACAAGTCATAAATCACGATACGAACCTATTCCAAGGCTCAGAACCCCAAATGGACACCAATAACATCAAAGTCCACTTCAAACCAAACCTAAAAAATTATTAAACGTTCGAATTGCCAACTTTCCACAATAAGCGTCGAAATGATCCCGGACCACCCAATACTCAACCTGAATATACACCCAACTCTGAAATCATCATACAAACCTATTGGAACCCTCAACTCTCGATTCTGAGGTTGTTTACTCAAAAGTCAAACCTTGGTCAATTCTTCAAACTTAAAACTTCTGAATTGAGAATTTTCCATTTGAATCAACTCCGAACTTCCTGAAATTCAATTCCGACTACGCGTACAAGTCATATTACATGAAGTGAAGCTACCCAAGGCCTCAAACCGCCGAACGACACGCTAGAGCTCAAAATGACCGGTCGGGTCGTTACATTAATAGTAAATAATATTCAATTTATTTCATTCGTAACGATTTATTTATTAACTTTTATATTTTACTCAAAAATTTGGCAGCGTCTTTTATACTGTCAACTAATTATTTTATGATTAATATCTAATATTTGATTGTTATCTAATAATATATTTAATCCATAATTGAGTACTCTAACCGGGGTTAGTTAATGAGGGCACATAGTTTTTATTCTAGACTAAAAAATCCTAAAAAGTACTAAAGTCACACTACTCTAAATGGCCATAAACAACATCAACTAACATAAACTAAAATTTATTATCAAGTTTACTAGGTTAAAGGGCACTACATAATAATAAAAGACACAACATAACACTAAAGGGTACTAAACAACAATAAAGTCACATATTATTATATGTACAACACTAAAGTCACATATAACACTAATTATTTAACAATAGAACAATATAATTTTCATAATTCTTTGCACATAAATAAACTAATCAGGATAAAAAATTAAAAAATAACTATATCAAAAAACGATCACAAAAAGCATACAACACAGTAAAATAACTAATTAGTAAATTATATATATGAGTTTTACTATAAAAGTGAGTCGAAATACCTCGTTTTAGAGTTTTTTGAATTGAGAAAAATTGATGATTTGACCACCAAAACGAGTAATAGAAGAGATTCACTACATGACAACGCATTGGATCGGGTGTTAGCTCGCTAAAATAATGAGGGGACACTATTTTTGGGGAACGGGTGGGCTCCAATGTAGCTTTAAGCTTTAAAAATGGGGGACCGTTTTTTAACGTTTTGTCGCGAGGAAGAAGGCTGGGCCATTTTTAATATAGGTATAACTCATATATGCGATATGTCTTTTCAACTTCAGGTATAGAGCATTACGTGTATGCGCTATAACTGTACTTTGACCGACATTTAAAAATCAGGTATAGCGCATTGATTGCATGCGCTATACCTTAACAGACAAACGTACCGTTAAGGTATAGCGCATGCAATCCATGCGCTATACATAAAATGGTCACAAGCTATTTTTTCCACCTATTTTTTATACTTTGAGTCCAAAAATATCACACTTTTAGCTCAAATTCATACATACTACATACTCCCTCCGTTTCAATTTATGTGAACACATTTGACTGGGTACGTAGTTTAAGAAAAGAGAGAAGACTTTTAAATTTATGGTGTAAAATAAGGCACGTATATTTTGTGTGATTATAAATTATTGCATAAAAGTAAATTGTTTCCAAATAATAAAAGAGATCATTTTTTTTACACGAACAAAAAAAAAAAAAAAAAAAAAAAAAGTTCACATAAATTAAAACTAATATTAGTTTTCTCTAATACATCTTGACCCCTGAATCCTTATGAGAAAAACGGCCCACCAAAATGCAAAAAACAGTAATCACGCGGCTAGGCTCTAGCCTCTGCCCCTGCTCCTGAGTCCTGCCTAGTCTCTCTCTCTATATACTGTATCTATTTATTTCTCTCACCTACTGATCTGATCTGTTGCCCTCTTCCTTCCTCTCTCATTCTCTTCAACCCAATAACATCAGCAAAATGGAACTAGCTATGCATATTTTATAACATGCGAACGAAACCACCATGTCCACGTCTCTTCCATTACTACCTGGTTTTAAGGTTGCCTTGTTGTGAATCACTCTTCGTGCTCTTCACGTGATCTTTCAAACACCAAAAACCCACATTAAACACATACAGACACAAACACATGAACATAAATACTCTCCTCTGTTTTTATTTTCTCTCTCTATCACTTAAGTAATAATTACCCGCCCAAAACTTCCCACTCTCTCTCTCTGTCTTTCAATATCAAATCTGCAAAATGTCCGCCTATTATACACAGCCACCGCCGATATACTTCACCACCGTCAGCGGCGGCACGATTCCCAGCACCGCCGCAGAAGCACATATTTCTAACGTCAAAACCATTTCTTCATCGATTATGATTGTTATTATTGTCGTCGCCACCTCCATTATCGTTTCCGCTTCCATTTACCTCCTCCTCCGCCTCCTCTCCCGCCGCTCCTCCCGAACCTATGCCGACGCAGACGACGTAATTTCTCATCCCGCTGCTATTTCAAATCGTCTCTCCGGTCGATTGTTCGAGTCGTTGCCGCTGTTCAGTTTTGGTTCTGTGACTGGCAGTTTGACAGGAATTGACTGTGCAGTTTGTCTCTCCAAATTTGAATCGCACGATCAGCTGCGTCTTCTTCCACTTTGCTGTCATGCATTCCACCGCGAGTGCATTGACACATGGCTTCTAACAAATCAATCCTGTCCTCTTTGCCGCTCTACTGTGGCCCCCACCGACGCTGACGTACTGAACAAGATATTAACAGCAACAAATTCTGAAAACCCTACCATTGGCACTCCTAATAGTAATACTGGTAGTTTCCAACTCGAAATCGGTAGCGTAAGTCGGAGACGGCTCGGGTCGGATTCCGCGGGCCGGAGGTCCTATTCGATTGGTTCATTTGAATATGTTGTTGAAGAAGACCACGAGTTGTCCGTAGATTCCATTCGCCGGAGTGAAGTTTATGATAAGGATTTATCCGGAGTTCCGGTACCGGAGCCTCCGGTAGAAAGTTTAACAGCTGAAGTTTCCGGCGTACGGAGTTGGCTACGTGATTATGTTGACCGGATTGCATCATTCCGGAGCTCCGGAAGGTTTTTCTTTAGTGGTAGTAGTCGCCGGAGTGACGTTGTCGTTCCGTTCGACGATTTGGAGGCTGGCCGCGTTGGGGAGGAGATTAGCGAGTACTTTCGCTGGCTTTCCGGGGTATGATTTTGCTTTAGCATGGTAGGGGCAAATTTGTCTTTTTATACACTATATATACGAGTAGATAAACACAAAAACAAGAAAATTTTTGATACGTCAACTCTCCTTCTCGAGAATCAATTTTTTGGGAGTTGATTCAGCAAAGATTGGATAGTACTTAGTAGTCTGTGTATATATACACTTAAACCAAATTGTTCTACTATTGTTTTTGGATTTTATCTAACTATATTTTTTGTTTAGCGAAACAATACGGGGCCAAGAAGTTCGATTAATGAAACAGATTCATATAATTCATAATGTAGCTGTTATTTCGACGTTTCCTTAACAATGTAAGAAAAGAAAATCTGTGTAAAGTTCAATTACATGTGAATAGTACTAGCATTTTGGGAGCGATTGACGGGGACTGTTTTTGCCAGTAAAAATTTACCGCGTAACTTTATTAGTGTTGTTTAACTTGTTTAAGTAGAAAGTATTGGCTATATTATTTTTCTAATTAATAATTCATCTTTATGAGCAATTACTTGTAATTCATTTTTAATTGATTTGATAATATAAAAGGTTTACGGTGTTAAACTCAAGCTGGTAATGAGTTGGTTGGGTTACTAAGTGTGGCATGGTAAAGGTGTCATTAATGTTCCACCCAAATTGTACTAGCTTCTTCAATTGATATTCATCCTTTTTAATTCCCAATTAATGATATGATATCGTGTCTATGAATGTGATGGTGGAGAAATGGAATTGCTTTTAAAAGACGAGGTCAAAGTTTATATGTAAAGATGATCGCCAGTGGCGGGCACCCAAGGAGTGTCAATGACACCCTTTCGTCGAAAAATTATACTGTGTAGAGCTTATATCAATTATACGTAGTTATCATTTTTGCTGGGAATAAGAATATTATTTAGAATCTAAGGAAATCATTAGCCTCTTTAATTGTACTTCAATTATTGCTTGAGTGAGTTATAAGAGAAGTCAATGCAGCCATCCATATATTTTTTTTTTGGATTTTTCCTTTCGAGGAGAATGATTAATTTCTTAATTTTTATTTAATAGTAGAAATGTAGTGTCTTTTGCGTTTACCATTTTAAAGAACGAGTAGCTCTAAGTAAGCTTTACTGTAATGAGCATATATAACCAACTCTTATTTATAGATGGGAGGAACAAAGATACCAAACTCCTAGGTAATGAAATGGTGATATTAGTAATGTCATGCCTCTTGTACCTTTGGCCATGATACCCATGTCATAGCCAACCCTTGACTCCCAAATAATTAACTTCTTTGCCAAGTAAATTCATGTTTAAACATAACTTGCAACATGCAAATATTTCATTTTTCAACTTTATCTTTAAATACTCTTTTTCTTGGCCTCAACCAATTATTGTCCACCTATTAAATGTAAGTTCGTCTTCTCTATCAGAAGTCTAATTTTATCCAAATACTTTACAAAATAAACTAAAGTGTTTAAATTCAATAATTGTTGCTACAAGATAATGATAATCTATTGAAATTGGTAAAACGTATCATGTAAAAATTCTTGATATTGCCAAATTGCAATTTGTGTCAAATATTAAAAGATTTAAGCTCTATTTTTTCATTTATGTTCCCCTCTGGGACCTAAATATATGCTTTGTGTTTAGTGCCCGGGGAAGAAGACGTTGTTTTTTTTCAATGTCACATCCGATATTTGGTACAAGCATTAGAACCTTTCTAATTTAGATTCGCATAGTGCAAGGTTTATTAAAGGGTAAGCGCAACTCAAATCTCAACATTATTGATGACCTAAAGCCAAATTTTAATAAGATGCCTTAATCTTTTTTTTTTTATTAACAAAGCTTCCTATACATTCTTATTTGAAGTGTATTTTTCAAACTTATTGAGATTAAGTTATAATTGGCAAGAAGTGCATATTTAAAGTATATTTATGTCTCGTATCTTATGTGATTTGCGGGAGATTTGCATAGTTATTGGATGAAAATTATACTCATTACGTATTTCTACCATGTAGGAACGTGTTGGATGAAAGTTGAAAAAGAGGACGATTTAGCAAAAATGGGAGTGATGACACAAGAAGAACAACTAGAAGCAACAACCTATCAACCTCACGTCGAGAGTGGAGCATACGAGCCAAGGGATTTGCCGTTCATGCAAAACAGTAACTCGAGCACAAGGCACGAGCCATCGCGAGAAAGGAAGAAGAAAATGAAAAACTGAAGGCTCGTTCACAAGTCTCGTGTCGCACGAGGGCCAGCTGCAACTGCCCAACTATCCTATTCGAGGTTGGATTGGCCAAGTCCACTCCATGCAAGCCGTATCTCATATCAATACTCCTTGAAATGACTTGGAAAGGTTATATACAGCACTTGTGGAAGCAAAAACATGCAAAGAGCAAGGTGAACAGATTCGGCAACGATTTCCCCTTCTTCTTTCTATTATTCCTTGTTGGTTATGAATTTTAGTAATGTATTTTTACATGCTATTATGAGTAGCTAACTTTCTGTCATAACCCAATTTTTACTATTTGCCGTGATGGCGCCTAACGTCACCTAGGCAAGCCAACTATGAACTACCTACTTGATTTCTCATTTTAATATTTTTAAAGTAATTAATTTTTATTTAATAAGAGAACAATGAATGGATGATTGTAGTAATGTAAAGCATAAAATAACGAAAGCAAAAAACAGTAAATTTAATACTCAAAACCATATAATATCCACTAGAATATTCCCAAAACCCAGTGTCACAAGTGTATGAACATCTAGTAGAATATACAAAACTCTCTAAGAACAACTTTGTGAATCAAAATAGACAGAAATGATAAAAACATAACAAGAGGAGGCTCCGGGTGCTGCAGAACGGAACATGGGAAAGCGGCTCACCACTAAGCCTCTGGGCAATGCGGATACTCCTCAGAACTTGCACAATATGTGCAGAAGTGTAGTGTGAGCACATAAAACATATACCTAGCAAGTATCTAGTCTAACCTCGAAGAAGCAGTGACGAGGGGTCGACTTCGACACTTACTAGTGGGAAATATACATAATGTACAAGATTATTTAATAGACATGAAATACAACGGCAATAATGGAATAAGAGGCAATAATTAAATGACCATTTATCAAAATAACAATTAAAAGTCCCCAAATATAACATATTAATCNATATTAGCACTGCCGAGGCATTTGGCCCGATCCACAGGAATAGAGAAACTCTTCGGATTTCGAATTTCATATTTACATCTCCGAGGTAAGCCCATGAAAGGAATATAATTTCCGTCAATAATTAAACATTCCACCAACTCAATAATAAATGAAGCTCGATTTATCATAATCTTTAACCAAGTTTTACTTGTTATTACTAGTAATTAAACTAGCAAGTTGAGTCCAAATAGTGCAAGTGGTAGCATAATAAAGGCCTATATTTACCCGGACATAACATGAATTTTAGCTACATACGGACTCTCGTCACTTCGTACGTACGTAACTCCCACAATTAGTAGCAAATAATAATTTAAACACCAATGGGGTTAATTCCCTCTTACAAGGTTAGGCAAGTGATTTACCTCGTTCTCATGTCGACTTTCCGGTACACAAATCACTCTAAAAGCCTCAAGTCGGTGCCTAACAATCTGAAACTAGTCAAAGGTTGTACAAACTGATCACTAATTGCTCAAAAGTTTATAATTTAACTATTAAAGTGATTACCCAACCCACGTGCTCGGATTCCAGAAATTTTCGTAAATAAATGTTATCCATAACCTTACGAACACAAATATATAATTTCACCCAATCCCATAATCCTTTTCGTGGTTTAATCTCATTTTTATCAAAATCTAGGTTTTTCAACCAAATCCTAATATTTTCACAATTTACATGTTAAAATCTACCCATAATTTATGTATTAAGCTCACATTATGTAGAAATCACTTACCTCCAATAGCTAGGTGAAAATCCCTCTCTACAATGCTCCAAAAAGGCTAACAAACGAGTGAAATAAATAAACAAGCCAAAATATTGAATTTTATTAAGTCACTGCCCAAGTCTGCCTTCTTCGTGATCCCGGACAAGCCCTCGCGATCGTGAAGGCAAAAATCACGAACCCAGAAAATGTTCTCTTCGCGATCGCGAGAGGACACTCGCGAACGTGATGAACTGAGCCGCCCTCTCACCACGAACGTGTGCCTTCCCTCGCGAACGTGAAAGGCAACTGGGTTGCCCAGGGTCAGGCACAGTACACGCAAGTATATGTGGCCGTCAATATTAAAATGACTCGAAAGTCGGATATCGAATCCACAGAGACTTAGATTAATCGTTAACTAAGCAAACTAAAATCAATTAACTGTCCAAGATAATCAAAAATATTATTTATCTACTAAACTACTTTTGCAAATATTGAATAAGTAATTAGCTAATTTATCAGGGATGCAAACGTGTGTTTTGGATTTTGCTTAGAGGAGATGAAGATTCCAGTGTTGTGGTCGGTTTATCAATCCTATTGAGTTCAATAACCACACTTGTTAATCCAGATTATCAATGGTTGCTAATTGACCAGATCGTTTATATGAGTAGTATGTTCCCACAGTACGACTCGCCTATCCATAATATATCAATCTTATATTCCTATGGTATTGAGTCTATCATGAATGAATATAATATGGTTTTTAACTACGTAAGACTGTTAGGTATATTCCTATCCTAACCGCAAAATCGTTCCCCGAGCCACGGGTTCAGAAACAAGCTCTCTTTAATTCTATTCTAATCTAAACATGGATGTCCCAAGCATAGTAGAAGTAGGGTGAATTTGTAGCTACAACAATTCACAAGTTAAAACTAGAATTAAAGAAACAACCACAAGATGATAATCCGAATTAACGAAGATATAATTAATAAACGTTAATAATCATGTCAACCACAACCCTAGAAACTAGAGTGCTTAGACACTCATGTTCGTAGTAACAATTTTCCAAGTATTTTGCATAAACGAATTACAAAGAAAAGATGAAGGAATGAAGAACTCGATGATTTTCTCCTCCAAAAGTTGTTCCACGTGATGTTCTTTCCTCAAAACAATGTCTAACCCTTCAAAAACTAACTTTAAGAGGTATTTATAGGGTAGGGGCCAAACTCTACATGTCTAAAACTAGTGAAGAATTAAAATTTGCTCAGATGGCATCGTCGGTGCGAGGCACTATTTGGAGCACCAATATTTCTACGCGAGGCACTATCTATGGCACCATTGTTTCTGTGCGAGCAACTGTCTATGACACCATTTTTTCTGCGCGAGGCATTGTCTGGGGCGCCAATGACAGTGCCCTGGACAATGCCTTGCAATGTGTATGGCCATGACTTTTCATTGCCTTGCACGTCTTCTTTTATTGCTCCATTTTGTAGCTCTAAGGTACCATTTCGTGCAACTTTTCTCC